TCATTCAACATAGCTGGAATTTTTCGGGGGGTGGGGGGAAGAGAGAGCATTTATAAGGTACTTTGGATAATTTGACAAGTAGCCAGAGTTATGCCGGAAGCCAGTGATATTTAAATGCTTATAAAACCTACTTTTAAAGATTTTATCCATAACAGGCTGAGAAACTGAGATTTTAGAACCTGCTCCACATCTCCAAAAATTAATCCTGCAATGCATTAGTGTTTTGTTCTTGAATGTGACCTCTATACAGTACAGTCTTCCATTACCGGGTGATGTAGCTATAGCTATTACCCTGTATATAGCTATAGCTATTACCCTGTATATAGCTAAAACAATAGCTATATTATGGGTAATAATATAGCTATTGTTTTAGCTATAGCATTAAACAGTTCTTAACAGCTCTCTCTCCCAGAGAGTTAATTGACTGTACATGTTCATGAGCCATGTAAACAAACAGAACTACATCCTAGAAACACAGCTGGATGTATAAGGACATGGAACGGCTTGCATTCACTGTGCTTCCATGAAGCAACTTAAGAGACAGAATTAGGATGTGAAAACGCCCTTATCAAAGACCTTCTGTTCCCACTGTGCTTGGTGGGCAACATTTTTTATTTCAGTGGCAGCCCTGCTTGCCCACCTTCTAAACTACTCACAAGCTCTTTGCGGAGAGAGGCAGTCATCTCCAGAGCTGCGAAAGATCAACCCTCTCAACACACAAAGGAGGGGGGAACCATGAAGAAAACTAAAGCAGTGTTATTTCATGTATTTTTTTAGGCCTTCCTGCAAAGTTTTCTTTGCCAAGGACCCTCTGAAGATAGTGCGTGCTCAGGGCCAATATATGTTTGATGAGAATGGAGAAAAGTACTTAGACTGTATCAACAACGTCGCACACGGTAAGCACTTGAACCTGTAAGACTGCTTCTGTTGCTGGTGTTTACTTCATTTCCAATAGGAATCATAAGAAGCTTCTTCCAAGTGCTAATGGTATATTCACAATGCTTCTCTGAATCTCCTTATGCGGCTCAATAACTGACTGTTTTGCTAGTAATAATTAATCATTTTCTTCTTTAGTTGGCCACAGTCATCCATATGTGATAAAGGCTGCCACAAAACAGATGGAACTGCTCAATACAAATTCCCGATTCCTGCATGACAACCTGGTTCAGTACGCTCAGCGCCTTACAGCTACCTTGCCAGAGAAACTCTCGGTTTGCTATTTTGTTAACTCTGGGTATGTCTGAATATTTATTTCTTCATTATGACTCTTAAACTCTCCTGTTTAAGATGGACACTCAGAAAAGCTTCGTCTAAACCTTAAACTTAGTGAAGCAGGACTTAGAAACAGCAACAAAAATATTTCCAGTACTGATTAAAGGATCCTTTGTATTTGCAGCTGCCATGTTTAGCATGATGGCTCAATATAATAGAACAACAACTTGAAGCTAGTCTGCTGATTTTATACAAAAAAGAGGGGGGGGAAAAAGTAAACGAGACCCTGGAAACTGGTGCATACTATTTGCAAACTGACGCAAGCCCTTTGAAGGAAGGAGTGTTCCTTTAGTCTGTGATCGCTTACTTGGCCCAAGCAGGTCACCTCTAGGAACCTGAGAACAGAGGGGCTGCTACGTGTCAGCTTTAAAATTAGTTCTCAGTATTGGGAGCAGGTTTGTGCCTGCTGCTTCCTGACAGTACAAGCGCTGAGGAGACTCCAGCCTGCGCAGAGGGTGGGAAACGCTGCTGGTACAGGCTGAGGTTTTGCAGTTGCGTTGTTCTCTCAGCTGCTGGCTGCTCTCTAAAGTGGTCTAATTTGTACCAAGAGGAGGTAAATATCTACAAGTAAACAGGGGGAGGGAAATAAAGCATCTCTTTGTTTGCTGTTTATACAAAGGGCTGTTTTTACTCCCCTTCTACATGGCATTTACAGTCTCAACCTTAGCCTTCTAATCTGTATAGTAACAGAGCCTGCTGTGTTGGTTGATTATATGCATGCCTCTTCTGTGTTAGAATAAAATTTTTATAGTAAGAGCTTGCTCACTTTTCTGTGGTTGCACGATCATCTAGTATCTGTTATTATGCAGGTCTGAAGCAAACGATCTTGCTTTACGACTGGCTCGGCAGTACCACGGGCATCAAGATGTGATCACCCTTGAAAAGTAAGTACATAGGATAGCTTATGTGAATGCAGCAAATAACTGCTGCAATTTCTTCAAAAGGGGCTTTGCTGCAAGCTGCCTGCTATTGGTACCGTACAGCCCATGGAAAGAAAAGCTGTGTTGCTTTCCTACTAGAACTGGTCAGGAAACAGTGTTCCTATTCCACATATGGTTAAACACAAGTTTTGAAGATTTCTGGAAAACGGAGATTGTCGGTCACCCCAGAAGGCCAATCACCTGTTACAAGGCATTTCCCACAGAGAGGCCCAAAGAAATTTAGGCCAGAGACCTGAATGTTAGTTTCAGTCACATGGCAGTGAGGGGTCTAGCCACTGCACTGTTCTGGAAACGGGCTTTCTGCCTGGCTCTCTCTGCTAAAAATGTTTCTTTTTGTACAAATAAATACATATACAATGGTCTACAAGAAAGATTCTGTAGCTCTGCAATAGTGCTGATCACCTGCTGCACCAATTTCAGCTCTTCAGCGAAGACATAAATAGGCACATAAAACAAAGCAGTTCCAAAATCAGGAGAAACTGAGAGGCCAGTCAGCCACGGGGAAGGCTGTCGACCAAGTCTCCGGGTTCCCCTGTTACAGATGCTGCTGTTACACTGGTTAGGCTGGTGTAGGCCTCTGGATCTTTTTCTCACCCTGGGATCACAAATTGCAGGTAGAGCAACTGCAAGACCTGCGTCTCTATCTGAGCAGCACAAAGCTCACTGGAGTCAACCACAGCCAGATCCCCATTAGCCCTCCCTGACTCACCTGGCAGGCTTTGGTGTCACTGACAGTAGCTTCAGTCAGGAGAAACTGATGACAGAGCTGGCTCAGTCATTGGGTTTAATTGTAGACATTTTTTTCCCTGAACATCACAGGTATTTCTTTGTCCAGGTTCCAAGACTCTGGAGGCTTTTGTTACAGCAAGAGTCCCAGTCAGGGTGGGCTTTCTGGCCTTTCTTTTTGACCATCGACAGATTTTGTTGACTGAATAACAGAAAGCTGTAAAGAAGAGAAAGGAGGGCAAAAATATTCTCTCTAAACCCTCATGTGTTTCACTATAAGATTGCGATATACCTTTGCTTTGGGTTGAGGTTCCCTTTGCTTCAAGCTTATGGTTGAATGAAAGTGTTTATGCTCTCAATGCATAAGGTTTAAAGGTTTCATTTCCTCATTTCTTGTGTTTAACTGGTGAGCCTGCTAGGGCTACTAGAAGTGGTATAATTCGGGGGACATCATTTCGGTCTGTCCCTATCCTGGCACCTGATCTCACGCAAGGAAAAATCCGACTCCTCATTCCAGTCTTACTACTGAATTAAAGCCAGCAGCAAGTTTCACACTGCCTTTGGGAGAAGGACTGAGTGAATTAAAACAAGATCCTTTCACAGACACTGCTACTGTTATCGCAGATAGAGTCTCTTATGCTGGATTATTTATGGACACTTGTAAATTTAGCTCTTCCATAAATTTGGTGAAAAGTGACTTTGATATTTAACACTTACGCAGTGCTTACCATGGCCATGTTACATCTCTGATTGACATCAGTCCCTATAAATTTAATCAGCTGGAAAAGGACAGCAAGAAGGAGTTTGTGCACGTGGTAAGTGTGCTTTTTTGTCTTTTGTCATTGTTATGCAGCAATTACCAACATCTGGTGTAAATGTACTTTCATTCCGTTTTGCTAATGTCAGAATACACTGTTGACTGTTTATCAGTGGATTAAATACAGCAAAATTGTTTGCTTTTGGATTTCTAAGAGGGAATTCTTTAGCTACAAGGCTGAATATCCTGCACAGTGCTACAGGCTTCCCAAGTCATTGCACTGTGCAGTTACTCACTTTGAAGAAACTAGCCAATATCTGTTGTGTTAATTTGGCTACAGAAAAGCAGGACTTTTGAATCTACTTCCTAAGACTGGAAAGACAGAGCCCACATATGCTCACACATTGGGGTACAGAGCTCATGGATATCCGATTAAATGGGCTACTGTTACATTGATTTTTAGCCCTATCAGCCTAATCGTGTATATCTTATGCAGACAAAAAGCATACTTAGCCCAGAGTTATACTCAGGACGACATGCAGTTCCTTCCCATCTAGATCTCTTTGTATACTCCCAGAGTAGCCACCTTTCTATAATTCTTCATTTCCTTCATCTACTGAACCTTTCCCAGCACTATTTATAGAGGTTTGAATGTCATACAGATTCACAATGTAAAGAGCATTTTGGAAGCCAAGTGATACAGTGGAAAAAAGCAGTTTTCCACTTGCGGTGGTGGGTCTTTCTGCAAGAACTTCAAATAAGATCATGGATGAGGACTTGGTATTACAATTTGGGGGAGAGGAAGGAGGGTCTTGAAAAGGTGGATAAGGAAAAGGTGGATGGTTCTTTCAATAGTTGTGGCCTGTAACGTTGAACACATCACAGGGCTGGGTTCAAGTTTAAGATCCTATAAATATTTTTGCAGTTCCATGTAGAAACTGAGAATGTGCTAACTCTACTATGTATCTATGTGGAAAGACAGAACTATGTCCTGTTCCAAAAAGACAGAGGAATACAAAAGAAACAAAGTAAATGTTTCACAGAAGCCTCGGCTTCTTTTTAGAAGTCTTGGTCTTTTCAGGCTCCCTCTCCAGATATCTACAGAGGAAAATATAGGGAAGACCACCCAGATCCAGCAAGTGCTTATGCGGAAGAGGTGAAAAAGATTATCGAAGAAACGCAGAAGAATGGACGCAAGGTGCGTGCTTTGTGCTCTGAAATGCTGAAACTTCATCTATTAAGGGTAGTATGAGGGGCATGAAACAGGAGACAAAGGACAAGTTTCTCTACACTTAGTTTCCCTTGCTTCCCCCTACCTTTCATTTTTCTGTGATGGATTCTATGTTCAAAATGTGCCATTTTTCTACCCGATGCTCTTATCAGAATTTTTCTAGGCATCAATGAAAATGGTAAGAAAAGATTGATAATACAGTTGTAAATGAGCAGATAAAACCAAACCAGTTTACTTCCCTCTTTTATGTTTTGGATCAGGAGATTGTAAACAACTTATAGCACAGGCAAGCTTTGAAGTCAGCTAAGAAACTACAGCAAAAGTTCTAGCAAGGATATGTAAAAGGCTCCAGCACGTGGAGAAAGTATGCTAGATAAATTCCTCATTCGAGTTACTTAAGACAACTTTGTGTCATGTAAAACAACATACCTTTCAACCATATGCAAGATAATCTTGAAAAAAACAGCTAATTTCTAAACAGGTTTACTTAAAATGTGTGTTAGTGTTTGGTAGGATGACACTAGCATTTTGAGACATGTAGGGCTTGTTTCAAAGCTCACTGAAGTCAGAGAAGACTTTAGTGGATCTCGGAACAAGTTCCCTTCTAGTCCAATGGGCTTATATCATTCTTCTTTTAGATTCTTCATCAACTTTTTTTATTCTCTACTAACGGATAGTTTTGTTTTTTTCTTCCTTTGTTTCCTTTCTTTTGCATATTTCTTAGGTTTTGGTGACATAGACCTGTGGCAGGACAAGTTGTGCTAAAGGCTAAGCCTCACATGCTATGGGAAGCTTCGTACTCTTTGGCCGTAGCATGCCTCTTCAAATATAGTGTACGGTTCTTTACACGTTACTGCTCGGCCTTGTTTCCAGGAAGACTGCACCAGCCCAGAGAGACCTATTGATGCTCAGGGAGGGGTTCACAAGTGGTGTGGGATGCAATCCCTTAAATAGCAGACTTATGCTGACACTTCGGGGTAATATCATCTCTCTGCTGCATAGACATGTTGACAAGAAACAAAGTTTTGATATTCCAGTGTATTTGATCCGCTGCTCTTGCCCTTCCTGACTTGAAATAACTTTCTTTTTCATTCCTAGCAACTGGAATTATTCAACCCGTAGAATTTTTCTCCTCTTTTGTCAAGTGCCTCATGCTGACATTTTACTGGTTTAGTTATTTACATTAGGCAGGGGCGCCCAAAGCATAGCCTCAGGTCATCTTACAATTTAGGTTCTACCCGTCTCTTCCTGGCATTCCAGATTGACAACAAAGCTGATCACCACATATACCTGTTCCTGGAAAGCCTTGACATTAAGCAAGTTTTATTCACCTCTTGGGGAAAATGGCAAATACTGTTATGCGCCTCCTGTAAATTCAAATCTGTTAATAAATTTACAGAGGTCCTGGGAGCCTGATCCAATATCCACTGACACAAGTAAGTGTCTTCAACATCAACAGCTCTAGGACCAGGACTTAACTAAGGTCCTTGTATTCCAATCAGGTTGCAAAGGTGTCCCTGGCTACTGCAAATTTGGGCACCCCAGATTAAAATATAAATAAATTCTCTAGCTATAGCTGTTCTCAAGCTGTCCAACCCATTGCATGATTAAATTAAGGCACACGTTTAAACATTTATTTCTAGACTGTTAGATATTTGTGCAAAGGCCAAATAAATGAACACAGCTCTTACCTGAGGTTTTTTTTTTTGTAGATTGCTGCCTTCATAGCTGAATCCATGCAGAGCTGTGGAGGCCAAGTAATTCCACCAGTGGGCTACTTCCAGAAAGTGGCAGAGTACGTACCTCACTTCAAAATGGGCATAACTGGAAAATTAACCGAAGAAACAGGTTTTCACTATGGGCTTATTGAATCAATTCAGCTATCTCCCTCTCTTGCTCTTAGTTATCTGTGATTTCTTTCTTTTCTTGAAGAGTAAGATTCCACTTCTATTTTTTATGGAAAATCAGCTGACTAAAAATAAAATTATTTTTAGCTGGATAATTATCTTTCCTTTTCTATCTTTAATCCTCAGGCCATAAAATTTGATGGAAGATGAAGTTGAACCATCAGAGAGGTAGCCCTGCAGTACCATTACAGTACCCTCGTTTTGCCCCAAAATATCTGATTTTTTTTTTCTTAACACTTAGTGAACTAAATGTTCTATCAATTGAAATTTGTAGTTATGCTTGGTAAGTTTCCAATCAAAGTTGCACGCTCCATCTCTGTATTATCACGCTAAAAGCAAAACCATTGGCTGGAAATGGAGTCATTTAAACACAGCCATAAAAAGTAGCTGTGGATATTTGTCAGAATCTTTGGATTTAATGGTAGGTTCATCCAGACCAGAGTAAGAGCCAGAACAATAAAAGACTCAAGTACTACCGCAAAGGAAAACCGTAGTCCATTCACTTGTGACCCAGAGCTCAGAATATCCCTGAAAGCAGGGTCCTGGCAGCAGTCTTTGAGAGAAAAGAGGAAGAACCAGCCTCTTTTAACAGACTGATGGGACACATGCCTGGGCCTTTGGCCACGTAAACACCTTCTGAACACAGCTGCCAGAATTGCAGTATTGAAGTTTAGTACTGAAGCTATGTTTCAGGAAACAAGTTATTTCCTTTTTTCCTCACCTGGTCTCATACCTGAGAATTTCTGTAATATAACTCCCTTGTTCTAGACTGGCTACTTCAGACCAGTTCTGCAGTTGGACATTTGAACTATTCTTTGGTTTTCAGATATGTGCATGCAGCTGGTGGTGTATTCATAGCTGATGAGGTCCAAGTTGGCTTTGGAAGAGTTGGGAAACATTTTTGGGCTTTCCAACTGCAAGGTGAAGACTTTGTGCCTGACATTGTCACCATGGGAAAACCCATTGGCAATGGCCATCCTATGTCTTGTGTAGTCACAACGAGGGAAATTGCTGAAGCTTTTGGTGCCTCTGGATTGGAGTATTTCAATACAGTAAGTTTCTAGATTAAGGTTTGTCTTTTCTTTCTACTTTGGTAGACATTTAGTGGTTGTACAAGTCGTTCAGTTTACGGGGCTAGAGATAAGGACTATCTGCCTACATCTGCATGCATCTCTACGTCGCACGGCTACGAGCTCTAGTCATCCACACACTAATATCTAAAATCAAGTAGAGAAGCTCTGAAACACACTCAGTACCAAGTGGTATATCTGTTCTAGTAAATAAAATGGACCAGCACTAGTTCTGTGGCAAATCATACAGCTCAGCTCATGTCCACATGGATAAAGTCTTCCTCACTCCTTTCTCTCCCTCCGCTCTGAAAGGTTGGCCCTCTCCGCACTGCCACCTGGGCACATCCTCCAGCACATGCCGTGCTCTGCACCATGCCCCTGCCCTGTATGGGGGGGTCCTGGTTGGCACAGCCCAGAGTCTGTCAGGAACCTTGCTCAAACGCCAGAACAGTGTCTGAGTGGCTTCCTCGGCTGCACTTTGTTTTCTAGGGTAGGCTCAGCCAGGGGTTATGTGCAGGTGGGCTTCAAGTCCTGGTGGACCTCACGGTGCAGGTATCACCTCCCAAAACAGCGACCCTTTGCCAGGAAACATTTGAGCTGCATGCATATCATAAAGGAGCAGTTCTCTTCTTGTTTATTGAGTCCACTTTGTCCTATTGGGACTGAGCCTTCCTACCAGCTACCATGAATTCCTCCTGATTTCAGTTAAAGAGCTCTTTGGATCACTTTACCAATTACTCTTCACAGGGGCAATTTGTCCACAGATGAAATCAGGAAAGCACGAGAGCAGCCTGAACACTTGAGCTGTGAAATTTTCAGACTACTGAAAGCCAAAGCTGAGGCACCAGGAGCTCTGCCATTTGGGCTTTGCTGTGCTGCACAAAGCAGAGGGAACTGAGCTCCACGCTGCCTTCCCTCACAAGCTGCTTGGCACAAAATCACCACCTCTTTAAGCTTTCCCCACTCACGCCAAGCAGGAGAGGGCAAGCGCAAACTACAAGGACAGACACAGATGAGTATTTCTGATGGGTTTTGTGTTTTGTTTTCCTATTTGTCTTTGCTATCAGTTTGGAGGCAATCCAGTGTCTTGTGCTATTGGTTTGGCTGTACTAGAAGTAATAGAAAAAGAAGATCTCCAAGGAAATGCAACTCGTGTAGGAAATTATCTCCTAGAATTGCTGTCTGAACAAAAGCAGAAGCATCCCTTATTGGGAGATATCAGGTAGGTGCTTATGGCATTTCAATGTTTCAAAGAGAAGAATGATAATTGCAACAGAAAAATCATTGAGTTTAGGTTGGGGTGGGGAGGCACAGAAAAAGTATGTCATGGTTGTGCTTTATCTCTTTTTGAAATTGGACTTCCCCAAACCAATACTGTAAGACAGCATATTTTTCAGTAAAAGTTTCCATTGATCTAGTTAGTTAGGGTTAAACCTAGCTACTGAACAGGCTCTGGGAGAGAGAGGGGGAAAAAGATCCATCCACTTGCAATAGCTTGGTTGTCAGGATGCCCCTTAGGATTATGGACCTTGTTCAAATCTCTGGTCCATTTCATTTGGAGATGTTGGCATGGGTTTCCCTCATCTCAGGTTAGCACTATGATGACAGAGCTATGACTTGTTTTGGGTAAGCTTCCCCACCAACTACCAGTCACCATGAAAAATCATTAGCAACCTCACAAACTTCCGGTTCTTGTGGGGTTTTTTTGTCTTTTTTAAATTGTTTTTGATCACCCGTCCTCCACAGCTCTCTGGTTTGACATTGCCAGGATAAGAGAGAAAGAAAAGCTTTCTGTCATTCTTAACTGGCCAAGTAACCTTGATGAGACAGCTAAATTTATTTGTCCAGAAATATCTGTTATTCCACTTGATCATCTGAAGTAGTCAGTGCCAAAACATGACAGAACAGAAAAGTCTAGTCTCTTTCCGACTCCTTCCCACCTTGGACTCTGGGAATGAAAATGCAGTTGTTAGAAACAGACCTATATTTGTAGCAGAAGGCTTGAATTACTGACAGCGGATTTCAAATTTCTTTATCCTCCTCTGTACTCTAGGGGTGTTGGATTGTTTGTTGGAGTGGATCTGGTGAAGGATCAGCAAAAGAGAACACCAGCCACAGCTGAAGCCCTTCACCTTATTTACAAGTAATTTTTTTTTTTTTTTAAGACTTCCATAGCAGTTACTCATTAATTTCAGTTTATATTTGGGTTGCTTTTGATAATATAGTACTGGAAAAAGCAAAAAAGTTAAAATCTAACTGGCCTGAAGTGTCTAACAGAACACAATATAATTTTGTACTTGTGTTTTACATAGCTGTTTACTTTTTCCACAGGCTGAAAGAACAGCAAATCCTTCTTAGTGCAGATGGACCTCACAGAAACATATTAAAATTTAAACCGCCAATGTGTTTCACTATGGAAGATGCAAAACACGTAGTGGACAAAATTGATGTACTTCTCACAGGTGTGTATGCTTTCCTAAGGATACTCCTCTTTGCTCATTTCCAAATGACACCTTAGAAACTCCAACTACAGTACCATAATCTAGGCCGTTACATGTAAGGAAAAATAATCAATTATGTTTCTTACTCCTTGTCTGAACTGTTACTCTTCATGGCATTTATTGTAAATACATAAAAAAGTTCCATACATAGGATCTAGAGCAGGATTTTGCCTAAAAAGTTTGGATAAACTTTCTCACAGACTCAGCATTTACTTACGATTTACTTCTGGTCACGTATGCTAAGGAGCAAACAGGTTAACTCCTCACAGGCCTCAAAGACACTGCTGAAACACTGGTCAAACTATCCATAATGCTCTTTACCTTTTTTTTGTTGTTTTGAACTGACTTACTTCAACATAATTGTCTCATTCAGATTTAGCCTGAAGGTTTCCAAACTCTGAGGGCCAATGCAGGAGAAAACATCACCAGGTACACCATTAGCATAAAGACTCTCCAAACCTTTCCTAGACTGAATGCTCCCTATCTCCTGAGGAGATTTGAACAAATGGAGTTAGACTAGCAGGAACCTGGTGGAGAAAGTCAGAAATCAGCTCTACAAGGCCTATCTGAACCCCTGTACTATGGTTAAGCTTGCTAATTTCATTCTCTTCTCTAACCACCCACAAGCTACACAGTCCTGGTCAAATTTCCTCAAAATCATGTTTCAGGAAGTATTCATTTTCTTGTATTATTCTGCTGCGTAACAAATGCATAGAGAAAGGGTCAATTAGATATTTTTGGACCTCATTCAGCTGTTAAACGAGCTGTATACTTTCCCTGATTCTTTTTTTCTTTCTTTTTTAAGAAATAGAAGAGGCAACTGGAATGAAGACAGGAAACGATGCATCTACAAATGCACAGTGTAAAATAAAAGTATGTTTTGAGTTTTTTTGGAATCTTAATCATATAGATGTTTGGTGAAGTAAGTATGAATGACTTTAGCAGAAATGTCTTCATTTTTGGAAGTGTAAGTAGGTCTACACATTGAAACCAAGATTACCTCTTAAAAGAAACCTGAGAGAATCATGTTACTGGGGCAAATCTAAAAAGAGCTGAGCAAGAGAGACCCTAAAACAAGAAACACCTTGCAGACAAGCCCATGGCCCCGTCTCCCTTATATGCAAACAAAATCAACCAGTCTCTGGACTGCACACACTTGTGAGCTAAGCAGTCCAGAATGATACTAGTCTGAGGTATGAAGTGCTACCAATGGGAGTTTGGCTTTCTAAGCAAGCCTTCAACCTGGAAGGCCTCCAAGCTTGCAGACCGTTCCAAGGGTTTCATTTCCTCTGTAGGTCCGTGAGCGAGAACGGCTGCCATGCATCCAAACTGGGACTTCCTAGGTTGCAGCACCACCTTTGGACAAATCATACATAATTTCTCATACCCTTAAAAATATGTATCACCACTTATGTTTTACAAAAGCTCGCTGAGCTATCCTTTGGCAAGTTTTCCAGTGCTGCTGAGAATGGCAAAAAATAGTTCAATTGCCCATGGATGTAACAATTAAGGCAGAAATCCTGTGGATTACTGGCCCTTTAAATAAAACTAGATTTGGGGTGCAAAACTCCTCTTACACTCTGCTGTACACACTCAGCTCAATTTCATTCAAAGGTAAGAAGTTACGCCACTACAAAAGGGGAGTCAGGCAGAACCAAGTGTAATAGCTACCTATTGAAAGAAATATGCACACCTTCATTGACGTTTTGTTTGTGTTTCAGACAAAAGGAGGGAATTCCCAACCAGAGTCTGTTACTGCAAGCGTCAGCCATATCAATGGAGCTCCCTGCAAACAAGAAAATGGTTTTTATTCTGATAAACGCTCAGTGCCAAGTAAAAGACTACAAACATGAAGAGGAGAAGTTTTCTTCTTCAGTTCAAATTTGTTTCCTGTTTGCTATTGAGATGATGAGTGCAATAGTCTGAGTCCTATGATCTGTTTGAAGCCTAGTCCTATCTTTCTTGTGCTGGTTAAATTCCTGTTAGCTTCATTAGGAGTTTAAAATATATGTTCAGATACGTGAAAACTGCATTAAGTGGCCTGAAATCTAAACGTGACAGAATGGGCACGTGACACATGAATTAAATTATTTCAGTTCCTTGGTGCTGATCACAGGCTTGACATAGGCACAAAAACCTCAGTGAAATCTGTGGATTTACCCATGTTACACAGAATCTGAACCACTGCTTAACCACTATGCAAGCACCTATTAACATGATACGCTTAACATGCTGTTTTTAGAATATTTTAAATTTCAATATGCAATATTGAGATGTTAATTGCTTCCCATGTTTTAATGGCTGAATTCACAAAACAATGCTTGAGAGAGAAATCGTTATTATCTTCTAGCATGACTTAGGTCCTATGGACCATATTCCCAGCTGATGTAAATTGGTGTAGCTTTGTTAATGTCAATGATGCTCTACCAAGAGTCTGCCACTGTGCACGCAGAGACACAGTGTTTATGCAAGGCACTTTCCCTTGGTGTTCAGAGAAAATTAAGAATGTGGATCATAATTTTCTATGGATAAAGCAACTTTTATAGATGACTATTTATACAGAGTTAGATTTTATGAATCTTTTTGAAAGTTTATATATTGTACCCTCTCAGTTCACAAAATATGCAAACAGAGTACATGTAATTTCAGATACACTGATTGAATTGAACCTGCAGGTCTCTCAAAAATGACGTTCCCAGGGACAGCCCAGCTCACATTCCCATGGCTTTTAGATGTCTTGAAAAATCAAAGGAACTAGTGCCTCACCCTTCCCTAACACTGCTGCTACTTTTTGTCATTGGAGGTGAAGAGTTGCATACTGGTTGCACAGGATCCTGATACACAATTGGCTATGCTAATTTGATAGACTACTAAAATGAGAAGACCACCGCAGAGAGTATGTGTGCAACCACTTTGCAGCCACTGCCTAGCTGTGCTGCAGGCACCTTTGACTTCCTTGCTGTCTTGTCAACGTTAAATTTCAATGAGAACACTCAAGCCCTGTTTTTCAACACCTGCACAACCTCACTCTATGAAACATACTGAGGGTTTTACAAATGGTTTGTATTTCAGGGAGAAGACAGAACTATGTCTCCCATTTAATTTTCATATCCCAAGTTCCGCTTTTTTGTAGTTGCTGCTATGGACTCTACTGGTATGACTGAAAATTGAGCACCTTACCTAGCTTCGTATTTCCCACGTTTGCTACATTAATATTGATATTGCCTGTTTAACTTCTTCCAACATCACCAAGCTGGCTTATTTCCTATTTCATGATTCTTTAATAATTCCCCGAAATAAATCTCGTAATTATGAAGTCCTCCACAAAGGGTTTTTTTTTTTTAAACTTTATTCTTTATTAACACCTATTTGATGAGGAAAATAAATTTAGTTTTGGCCTGCAGTACTCTCTGTGCCAAAACAAAACTGGATAGGCTACATAAGCAACTCTTACCCTCCAAGCTAGACATTACCTCAGCCTCCACAAAGTTATTCAAGTACTTGTGTGGCTATGCTGTAAACTGGATTAGACCCCTGCTAACCCTTTACCAGAAAGCACATCAGAATACAACTTCCGGAATAAAACTACACAGAGACCTAAATCAACCTAATTTGGAGGGGAAGGGGGATTTTCTTCAGACTAGACAATCCACTGAAAGACTAACATAATATGACAAGCATACCAAAGGCACGTTTCTGTGGCACTTTAAACTGCTCTAAATTGAGGCTTTAATACACAAGTGCCTTAATACACCTTCCTACCAACACAGTCATAGACACACCCACCCACACACACATATTTTATTAGCACGAGCAGTTCTGTGATGGACTTGCAATTTAACTTACCCTGTGAAGCCCGCAGCAGGAGGAGAGCACCTATATTATGTGCTACTAAGACGCCAAGCACCTCATACTCACTCACACCAAGGTAACCCCACCGGTGCCTTCTGCACCAGTCAACAGGTTTAGTGACAGCTGCAATCTTCCCAAAACTGTATTTTAAAAAAGCCTAAGTTTGAGGTGAGGAGGAGATTGCAGCTTTAAAATTGCAAGATGCCTATCTCTCCCCTCTATCCTTCCCGTGTCTTGTTTCCCCACATGCTGAAAATACATGGAACAGCAGTTGCTCCAATCTCATAGTGTTTTGCACCCTGATTCTGTATCACAGCTCCCTAGTAGGAAGCTCCCTACTTACTGGTTCTGCTAATCATGTAGTTACTTAGTACAGCTAAATCCTCTATTTACTTTAAACAAGAGAGGCTGCCACTTCTATGCTACACACTAGAAAAAAAAAAATTAACATGTAAATGGAGGTAAGGAACCTATCCAAAAATTAACAGGAGTTGAGCTATGAGCTATTATTACTGCTATTATTATTGTTCTGTACTTGCAGCATCTCAGAGTCTCCCATCAAGATTATGCACAATCCCTGCCATGAAGGGTTTATTAATTAGAAGAGGTTGATTAAAGGATGGGAGAAAGGCAGTAGAAATAACCACTTCAAAGAGAGAGGGTGCAGTTCCAGTCAGCTGAACTGATCTAATATATTCCCCTTTTCTTCTTCCCCTTTCCAATGCTCTAGTTCCCTTTTTCCTCTTTCTTCTTCTCCTGCCCTGGCTGTGCAGTTCCTGGTTTGGGCCATGCAACTCAACCTCCACCCTTGCCCTTACTCTGATCAGACACCTCCGTAAGTCAGTTCACCTCACTAACCTTGCAAAAAAAATGCAATCACGCTTTTTTGCCATCAGTTTTCTGCAACACTACTGAGCAGACTCATGGAGGGAGCCTCAGCCTGCACAAATATAAGCAGCAGGAAGGAAGAGAGAATGGAATGAGGGAAAAACATGACTCACTCCATCCCAAGACATCACATTCTGAAGCTATTTTTATCTTCATTAACTGATTTTAGCTCATAATCATGAACTGAAGCGGAATCAGATTAGTTCTATTGCATTCTCCCAGTTTACCACCTTCTCACTTGTTTGTATATTGTATGTTTAAGACTTTTAAAGCAAACTGAATGGTTAGAATGAGGAAAAAGGGAAAGGACAGTGCTTGCTGCAAACACTTCTGAAAGAGCGCTGTGAGACTCTGAACCTACTGCCAGTTAATTCCACCACTTCAAAGTGAGCAGGACTGAACTTGCGTGGACTTGGAAAGCTGTGCCAGAAGGCATTGTTTGGGGGAGAAGAAACAGAATCAAAAGTTGCCATGTCAACACAACATCACTGAACTGCAGGGAAATAGGGCATGCTTCATGTCCACATCTGGGGAAAAAAGCCTCACCACCATTACACATTGCAACAGGAATACACTGAGTAGAAGGAATATTAGCAAAAAATAAGGTATGTATTGTTTACACAGCAAGAAAACCTAAGTGTACCAAAAAGAAATCCAGAGTTTGATTGGTTTTGGTGTTTAAAATTGGAAGGAGGGGGTATAGGAGACTCAAAGGCCTGGTTAGTGATGAATAAGGCCCATTTCATTCAGAGGCTCTTTAATCATTTTCTCCTCAACAGAGTGTGCGTGTGTGCCTGTGAGTGAGATTTTATTCATTGCTTTTTAGATTTATGTTTTTTCAGACATAATGCATTCTCATAAAATATGTTATAATTTTCACAAATGATTTAAGCTTGGTGGCTGCAGACTAAAAGACAACCCCGACGCACCGAATTCCAAAGGGGGGAAAGTCCTCCCACCTACTCAAAAAAAGCGGATGTTGATGAGATCTGATGAAAAGAATGGGAGATGAATGAAGGTGACCAATGGACAAGCCTGAAACATATTTGTGTGTGTCACGTTACAATGTGCAAGATGTTTCCATTAAAAAAAAAAAAAAGGTGGAAATACAATTTCAATTTGAAGGGGGTAAAAGTCTGGGTCACGTGTTTGAGTTGGCCTGGGACACTCTCATCTAAAACCACAGCATTGAGCACCGAGGTATGAAAAATAAAGCCTAGAAAAAGAATCCTAAATGAATCACAGGATTTCCTGATCTCTGCTACTCATACACATTTTTATTTTCCCAGCTGAAATACTTGATTTTAATGGTGCCTACGGTTC